AAATCATCGACTTCTAGGAGCAGCAGACTGGATTTTCAACCTAATGCTGCCATCGAAACAAGAGGCTGCAATGTTTCACAAGAGCCACTTTACTTGGAGCAAAACTGGGTTGATTTGTTGGGTCAAAACAATCAAAACATCACCTACAAAACAGAAGTGGTATTGACTATTCCAATTTAAAGTAATTGAGCAAAGAAATAGTCCTCTGGTGCTCTTAATGCACTTGTCTGCACAAAGTCAGTGCCACTTAAGTATTTTGTGAGCTCTAGTTAACTGTACCTGGAGTGGCGTAAGCTGTCCTTCTTGTTTTTAACGTTGCAGAGCGTGCACTCACAGCCAACAGCGTGAGGCCGGGGGAGAGAGATGTCCTGCTTGAGCAGCATGGTCAGGATCTCGTAGTTGTTCCTGTGGGCTGCCAGGATGACTGGAGCCACATCCATGGTGGTGGAATACTCTGGATTCTGGATGCGCTGCATCAGTTTCTGACAAGAGCATGGATTAAAAAAAAAATAAAAATACTGTAAGTGAATTATAGAAATTGATAAGCAAGTTTTTGCCTTAATGGTGTTTCTTTTCTTGAAAACGAGTAATAACAGCAGACTTACAGCAATAGAGGGCTTAGAAGATCTCCTTGGCCTGTGGTTAAGGAGAATGTCCACGGCTCCTACCACTTCTGAGTCTATGGCCACCAGCAAAGCGTCTGTTGCCTACACAGAAAGAAATGCACAATTTTAGTGATGTAAATGATGTCTTGTGTATATTATTTTACCCCTAGTCTGTGCTTGCTTGTTACCTGGCAGCCATACTCCAAGAGCAGCTGAAGGATGTCCAGATTCTCGTTCTCGATGGCGATGGTCACTGCATCTCGGCCCAGCACGTCCACACTGTTGATGTTGAGCTCGCCGTGTCTGTTCTCCTCCAGCAGTTTCTTCACCATGTAGTAGTCACCTGAGAAGCAAGTCAAGGACAAAGCAGCACATCATAAATGTGATCCACCTTGGCAAGTTCTCACAAAGGCGGATCCTTTGAAGAAGTGAAACATTAGTGTGAGCGCGGTGCCAAAATGACACAAACACACAGCGCCGGTTATCAGGCGAGCTCTTTCAGAGAACAGGCTCAGATCCAGCGGCAACCCTTAATCTTGTGTAACAATAACATCTCCCTCAAAGGACAATTTCTGTTGCTGGGCCACGTTTAGGGAGACTTTATATGGTCACAGTGGCAGTTATTGGCTTAGCACACTTCTGCCTGTACAATGTTCTTAACTTATCAATGAAATATTCTCACGCCACGGGGACTAGTTGAGAAAACCCATGCCTCTTTGTTATTTTACACTTACACTGTCTACGTCTTGCCTTGCTGGCATTTAGCTTGTTTGCATTAACTTTCCATGTTGGGGTTTGTGAAAAGTCAGGAGACCAGGGAGAGAAACTTAAAGTGGAGCAGACATTTAACTATTAACTGCCCCTTGGGCAAATTACCACAGTATCCAAAGTGTGGGCAGCTGTGAGTGGCATACACTGGAGTGGGGGGATCTGTAATGATTGAGTAGTTTGCCAGCTGCTAAATGAGCCTGTATGACATCTGCCATGCTGTCGCTGTGTGTGCGCTCTACCTCCTACATGAGACATGTAGCTTCAGCATCCCTAATGATCACAATAACGAGCTTCCTTCAGCTCGTAGTCACGTGTTGCACGGACATCCCATTGCATTGCAAACAGGGAACAACAGCCCAGATATTAAATTAGACGAAACAAGAGCCAAACCTTTCTCGCATGCCAGGAGGAAGAGTTTCTCGTCCAGAGTCGTCTCCTCTTTCACTTCTCTCACGTCTTTCAAGGCCAGGAATTTGTCCGGAGAGGAAGCGTCCGTGCCATGGTACAGAGCTGCCATTACGACGGAGAGCGAGTACGGCAAGACGCTGATGTGCATCCCACTAGAAACCGACGACCATTACACGAGAAATCCCGTCATATGCGATGACATGCGAAGAATGCTTCTGTAGTTGCGCAGCAGAGGTTTAAAGCGGCCGACTTAAACCAGTGTCAGTAATCGCTGGCATTACCGTCCCAGCTCCGGTGCGTTCGCTTTTTCCCTTTTTTCGGGGTTAAAATATCGCCTATTGTAGCCCTTTTCGCACCATCGATTTCAAACGTGGGGTTAAAAAGTGTTCACGGCGACGGCAAGTAGACGAAACAACGCGGTCATTTCTCGCGGCGTGTTTACAAGCACCATCTTCTCACTTGCATCGCAGTGGTCCTGATGCTGCTGGCGAGGCTTGCACTGCGCATGTTTCCTCCTCCACCTGCTTGATCGTTTCGCAGGCGCAAAGCCTCTTCTCCGTGATTACGTAACAGTGCATCTTTGCCGTGTACAGTACACTGTGTAAATTCACAGCGTGTGTGTGAGCGTTCACTGTGACAGTGCATGCACACGTGCTGACTCTGAAGCATGAACTACACACATACAGTATGCTAAGCGGTAAAGACTGGGAGATAAACAGAAATCAGCAATGGCTGTGGCTCCTGCTCAGGTCACTTCCTGCAGTAATGTGAAAGTCCTGATGGAAATGCTGTGTTGGGACATGCATGGGTGACATTCAGTGCACATGGATATGGATATGGCGGCATATGGGCTCATATAATCCGTGACAGACTGTTAGGAAATACATCTGGTATCCTGATTCAGTGAAATCTCTTTATAATTATGCTGAAATGTAAACGTGTCTGTGTTTAAAGCACCTTATGTCAGCTTCTGTTGTTTAAATGTTCTATAACCTATAGATGAAGTAAACAGTGATAACAAAAAAAAACCTTTTTCATATTTAATTTCTTGGATATACGTTTTATTTCCAAAAAAGTGTTTAACACAGTGATAGATAGAAACAAAGTCATATCGCACTAGTATCTGATACTATCAGTTTTCGAGACTTTTGCTATTGGAATCAATCCACCCACTTTTAACAACCTGCAAAGAATATTGCTAAGAAATGCTGCAACCAGTGAAGGAAAGGGTTTAATATGGACTGGAATACAGTTTTAGGGAACATGTACTTCATTCAGTTCAAGTGAAATCAAAAGAAAACACAACATGTAACAAGCCTTCACATCCAACTCAATAAGCCATAATGAAGTGACAGTGAGTCAGCATGCTTAGTGATAAAGCACTGGTAATTAATGGTCTGCTCTCATGCAGGCCGAGTTAAGACCGAGATTATTATTATTACGTTTTAAATCAGATGTCATTAAAGACGACCTTTGGTTTTTCTATAATTGTAACACAGTTGGCTTCTAAAATGTAGAAAGGTCTTTGTTTCTTTCTTTTTTAAATAAGAAATTTGTGAATATTGAATATCGGCTTGCAAATCATCACCACACACATTTCTGATGATGTGAGACAAATATATTACTTTACTCACCACGCTCAGCACTTCCACTGCCAAACAGAACAAATACCATGCACTGAAACAGAAGTAATTTCCTGGGCGGGTTTCTGTCACAGTGTGAATACATGTTGAAAATAGGGCGGGGAGGAAAACGTGCACTTATTATTCTCTTCACTATTTGACTCGATACAAGAAAAACACATTCAATGACGGGCTCTTTGCTTTCCAACAGCACCGAATCCTAATATAGCTTTTGTTTTATGTTTTATAAACATTTGTAAAATGCAGGTGGAATGAAGCGGTTGCACAGTAGGAAAGGTTTCATATTAACAACAAGCTTCCTTATAAAAGAATAAGATTAAAAGATTTTTCTTAAACTAAGCTCTATTATCTATATGCTTGCACACTGAAAAACGAATATAAATTATTATGTCATATGTATGATTAATATATTTGTTCATGATGTGGAAGTCTGCTGTTCGTTTTGGAGGGTGGGACCTCAATGCTCCAGCAGAGGGCAGTCTGCACAAAGGTATTTCGCTGTAGACACCCGCATTGGATGAGAACAAAAATAAAAATGAAGATATATTGAAAGCACACGTTACCGAGAACAGGAAGGAAATACTGTATAGCCAACACAAAGCCTAATATGTCGCACTTCAGAAGGACTCACACCATGCACAGCATCTGAGCAGGGCTTGATGAGAAACAGTATACTAAAATCACAACGTGGATATTACCCTACATATTTAGAGGTTCCTCGCTGGGGAGGGTCAAGGGACTCGAGCGGTTTCAATTCATTCAGTCTATGCTCTCCCCACCCCGCTTGTTCAAGGTTGTAATCCCGCACAGGCAAGCCTCTTAGGAAAGATGATTTTCAATCTGCAGAGCATGTGTTTCCCTTCATACAACATCATGGCCTTTCCAGTTCCTGGGGAACAGCTGTCAAATGTCCCATTTCAGCTGATTCCACTTGAGAGGAGTGCTTGTCACTGCCGCTGAGTGTTTCTATCACGTCCAATGAAAAATTATTACATCCTCTACAATGTAGAGGCCATCACTCTCAGATCAGTTTAAAATTCAAGAGTTTCTATTTTTGAAAAATTAGATTCGGCAGTATGTGCATAGCTCTTTTGTAATGAAACAGGGTTTTTCTTTGCTGCGTTTAAGACAAACCCCGGGCTACCCTCTTGTGGCTGTCGTGAGGGGGGCTAATACATTTAATCTGAAATATTGATTCTCTCTTGCAGTCACACACGATGAGGAGGACGTGCGTAAAAGGAAAAGTAAAGGCCGGCTTTGGAATACAATCACGGCCTTAACACTTTTATTAAAGAAATAGTAAAAATAGGTTGTATATTGAAAAAACGGAACAAAAAACAAAACAGAAAACTGCTAATCGCTTTTAGATGTGTAGCAACGAGAGGCTAGAGTACGGTTCAGACAATGTGAGGTGGACTTCACCTAAACATAACAACAGCACCACCACCATCCATCCCCCATGCCCTCCTCATCTACCGTTGCTGTGATCTGTCGGAGCCACCATTAACGTGACAGGCTCGCAGCAGGTCCAATGACGTAAGCTGGCCGACGAGCGTCGACTCGTCGCGCTCCAATGCGCTCTCTCGGAGGGCGGGTCTTGGTCCTGCTATTCAGATTGAATCGGCCCAGTTTGTATTAGTTGGACGAGCAGAAGAACGAGACGGAGAAACGTGTAAGAGCCCTAACTGCGGATAAAAGCGTTTCTCTGCTCCATCATGGCAGCTGCGGAGTAATTTAGAGGATCCGGCCCGTCGCGCGGAATCGTGACCGACGCCCGAATCCACCGCATTTCTGAGGATGTTCCAGCTGGTAACTGCGCGAGGATGCTTCCGCTGAACGTGCTCAAACTGGGCGTCTGTTACAATGCTGAAGGCTTCTTGGTTTTTGTTTTGAACGCGGGCCAAACACAGAATCACTGCAAAGCCTGATATGGACAACTTTAACGCTCCTCTCTTCTGCCATTTCTATGACGAACATTGCGCAGTGCAGTGAAAAAGCTATATCGTTTAGTGGCTGTCGAACTGGTGCCGAATACATTACCTAATTCATCTGGGTGTTAATTCCCGGTGCAGCCCATAAACACACTACCGAGCGTGTTGGTGCACAGTCAATGTAAGGAGCTTCGTCCAGCGGTGAGAGCCACTCTCCGAGGGTACAGATGCGAGGCAAACAATATCATCAACCACTGAAGTTGACAGCGCCTTGGGAGAAGGATGCAGGCTTTGGAAGGAAGCTTAAAACATACAGGAATCATACCAAGATAATAGCACAGCCTGGGATCGTGATGAAAGTGCTACGCAGGAAGAGGATTGTGTTATTTATGGCCTATTTGTTACTGCTCGTGCTCACTATGCTTAACTTGGCTAATTATAAATGGACTAAGGAGCCGCAGCAGTGTAATCATCAGATGAGGAGCACCACTTATCAGAGCAGATCTGACATTCGCTTCCTGTACAGACCCTCGCTGGCTAAGAAGAGGCAGCTTATCTATGTGCTGACCACCTGGAGGTCAGGCTCTTCCTTTTTTGGGGAGCTGTTTAATCAAAATGCAGATGTGTTCTTCTTGTATGAGCCAATGTGGCACATCTGGCAGAAACTGTACCCCGGTGATGCCGTGTCATTGCAAGGGGCGGCCAGGGACATGCTTAGCTCCTTATACCGCTGTGATCTGTCTGTTTTCCAACTTTACAACAGCCCGGGAGGTAAGAATTTCACCTCCCTCGGACTGTTTGGGGCCACCCTCAATAAAGTGGTGTGCTCATATCCCCTCTGCTCAGCCTATAGGAAGGAGGTGGTGGGGATGGTGGATGATAAGGTGTGTAAAAAGTGTCCCCCTCAAAGCCTTAGACTGTTGGAGGAAGAGTGCCTGAAATATAGCACCATAGTCATTAAAGGGGTCCGCATATTGGATGTAAATGTGCTGGCCCCGCTCATGGAGGATCCGTCCTTGGATTTGAAGGTGATACACTTGGTTAGAGACCCACGGGCAGTAGCCAACTCCAGGATCAAATCCAGACACGGCCTGATACGGGAGAATTTACAGGTGGTCCGCAGCAGAGACCCCAAACTTCGGCGGATACCTTTCGTGGACCCGGGGCACAAAGCTAACAAGAAGGATGGCTCAGACTACCACTCCATTGGAGCCATGGAGGTGATCTGCGACCGTACCTCCAGGACTTTGAGGACTGCCTTAAATCCACCCAGCTGGCTGAAGGGGAAGTACATGGCCGTACGTTACGAAGACCTGGTCGAAAACCCAGTTAAGACCCTGAGGAGCGTCTACCGCTTTGCCAACCTCACTACCAACCATGACATTGAGATGTTTGCTTTGAACATGACCAGTGGCTCCAGTTCCTCATCTAAGCCATTTATAGTCTCCTCCAGGAATGCCACACAAGCTGCAAGTGCATGGAGAACAGTGCTCAGCATCCAACAGATCAAACAAGTGGAAGACTACTGCCACCACTCCATGTCAGTTCTAGGTTACGAGAGAGTGAGAACAGCCGGGGAGGCCAAGGACTTGAGCAAATCACTACTGACACACTCCAGACTGTGAAAACATCCTCACCACCAAAGACCATTTAATTTAATGTTAATTTTGCATAGAGTGCCATTTCCTTATTTTGTGGAAATAAAGCTTTACTTTAAGTCCATGTTCCTGGATCTACATCGGCCGCATTTGGAATGTACCGTCAGTCAAGCAGTTGCAGCTCCGTTGAAAAGGACCACTTCTTTTTTACCGGAACACCAGACGGGACCTTAGACCTCGACACTGCAACGTCTAAGAACAATTGACTCAAAGCTGCAACTTTCAGAGAAAAAAAAAAGGAAAAAGAAGCTACTGTATAATTCATGTATCTTGTTATGATGACACTTCAAAGTGGATGTTTTGGGGATATTTTTTGAATGTTCAAAAGAAAAAAAATCTGTTTTCCAGTCTTCATACTGTCTGTAAAAGTGAAACTAGTTAAAGGAAGGGTTAAAAAAATCCAACTGATTAAAAAAGAAGAAAAAAAGAAGTTGACTGCTAATGTTAATATTTGAGACGTGTCAGAGACAATCACTGGATTGGATTCTTGTGCCATAGGTAGAGGTGTGATCAGAACAGCAGTAGTGCTATGGCTAGATTTTACAAAAAGGGGGGTGTTTTGATTTGGGTTTTTCTTACATTTTATTATTATTATTATTATTTTTTTTTGTCGTCACATCCTGACAGGATGATATCATACACTGTGGACAATGTCATAGCTCCAGATTTGGAAAAGTCTCTCTGTTGGTGTCAGCAGTCTGCTTGTTCTACCATTTCCAATGTTTACAATTGCTTGCTCTTATAAAAAAAAACACATCTGGGAATATTGCATTGAGTAAAGTTCATAGTTAACAATACAGTTTATGCATTTGTGTTGAACTCAGTTATTTTAACGCCTACTTGGGGGGGGAGTGGAAGTGGTTCACAAAATTGGCTGCAGGGAACAACCTGGAAGTTAGCACACCTAAATAAGATGAAGGGTTTAATGCAGAATTGAATGATTCGGTTAAATTCAATGCAGTTTTATTTATTTAGCACCAAATCACAACAGCATTCTCCTCAAGGTGGTTTTATTGTAAGGTAAAGACCCAACAATCAAACGACCCTATATGAACAAACACTTAGAGACCGTGGGAAGGAAAAACACCTTTTAATAGGAAGAAACCTGAAGCAGAATAATAATAAATGTGCTACGTTTATTTTAATTTACAATCAGGATTTATAACAAATTTTGTCTTGAATGAATAAGCTTTATCAAAACTTTATTCAGTGCACACCTTTTGTCACTGTTTGAGAACCACTGTGCTGGAGAGGTGTCATATATTTGTTGCTATTTGCTACATAACCTAAAGGTGCCCTGTGGAGGTTTCTGGCAAGCAAACTGTTTACATTCGGTGTTGCTCACCAGCATGAAGTGTGTGCGTGTGTGTGTATATATATATATATATATATATCTGTCAGACAGGGTGGAAACAACTGCAAGCCACATTTGAAAAGTTATAAACCGAGTCTGTGTACTTCTCTATTGGTTTAGATTTCCTGCTTTGTTTAGGTTTTTCCTTTTTTGGCAAACTAATGCTAGTAAAGCCTGACGTAAAACAACTACCGAGTAGTACTTAAAACTCCACACGGTATCTTTAAGTGCATGGCTGAAAAACGTTAGTCACAATAGCTGGGGATATTTTAATAGCTGGGTGGAAGAAGTAATTACAGTTACTGTCAACTTCAATTCTGTTGACAACAGCACCTTAGCAAAATTTCCCATTTCAAGAGTCACCTGTAAAAGTAACATCCAAACACATTCATTGTGCTAAATGTCTTTTTACACACCTGACTGTAGTTTCAGCCCTTTGCTCGGGATGCAAAAACGTCTAAAAATTGTACTTGAAAGCTCAGTGGCCGGCGACTCCCACAACAACGACAAAGGAGACTTGAGAGAAGCTTCTTCCTCCCATGCGGAAGTAGATCCTGGTGAACATTGAAATTGGATTTACGTACCGTATGGAAACTGACATGTAAAGCAAAGTTTGCATCACCTTGAAATGCAAAAGAAGCTTTCTGCATCAAACGGATATGCAACAGAAGCAAACAGATTGTGTTATATAACAGAGATGTGTTGCTTCAAATATTAGCAAATAATAATAATAATGATAATAATGGATTGCATTTATATAGCGCTTTTCGGGGCCCTCAAAGCACTGTACAATTCCACTATTCATTCACAGTCACATTCACACTGGTGGAGGCAAGCTACAGTGTAGCCACAGCTGCCCTGGGGCAGACTGACAGAAACGAGGCTGCCATATCGCGCCATCGGCCCCTCTGGCCAAATGACATAAAAACTAGCAATTGTGTTTCAGAAAGTATTTGTTTACTTTGATAGTAAGCTGCAGCTTTAAGAAACAGGCCTAATAATGGTGGAAAGCTGTTAATCATCATCTCTTGCTTGGAAAAAGCTCAGAAATTTAAATTTGAGTGCATACAAAGAGGAACGCAATGTATACTTTAACAGACACATTCCAGAGATGCGCCCATGCATTCACAACATAAAACGAAAAGCCCCCGCTTCAAGGACAATGGCTTTATTAATACACGGCGAACCATCTGCATATTCGTACAGCCTAACCTTCACAAATCGTATTTGTGCAGTAAACAACACCCCTGTTTGACTCAAGGGGGAAAAAGATGGGGCCCTGAGATTTACAGTGATGCACATAGAAAGCAGCAAAGTGCAATCTTTAATTAAAGCAGTTGGAGCGAAACTTCACATGCAAATAGTCTTTTTTTCCCCCCCTGAAAGCTGTTAGTACTTTTAACCATTTGGATACATTCTTGCACAGCAAAGAATGCTAAGGAAGACATGGAGGGAGATGGGGTGGTGGGGGTGGTAATAAATTTAGCAGAATACATTTGAATCAGTTAAAAGGATTGCAGCAGAAAACAGTGCAATAAAAGTTTAATAAGGGGCTGGGGAAGAGCTAAGCAAAGTTGGCAAGAAAATACCATTTCAGCTGATTAAGGGAAATACTGCAGTGTTCAATCACAGAGTACAGTGATGAGTAATTCTCCCTAAAGCTTGAAACTCGGGCATTACGTAACCGTGTATCATGTAGCTTCAGTGCTTATAATGAATCTGTGACTTAACATATTACCTTTATTTATTTTTATGACTGCTGCTGCTTTATGACAAAGGTGAAAGGCACACTTAACATTTCTATTTCAGTTTCTAACTTCCCCAGTTTGAGACAAGGAAATCATCAGCGTTGCAACAGGAAGAGCGGTGGCCTTTGTAATTGTTTTTCTCCCTTCCTGTGTGACTGTGTGTCTTTGCGTGCATTTCAGCACAGGGGGAGTGCATGACCTTTTGGGAACCATTGAAACTCTAACTCTCAGTCAGCTGTTGGCAGATGTCCTGACCAGTGACCTCCATTCACTGTGGGAGGTGGGGGTTTTGACATCAGGGAGCAATAGCTGATAAGACGAGGTTAGAGCTGAGTATTGGAGCCGCTTGCCTCCCTCGGTTGAGCTGGAGCAGTGCCGAGGCCCAGATCTCCGTCCAGCAGGTCCTCTTGGTGCTCGGATGCAGAATCGCTTTCGGACGATCCCTGCTGGCTCTCCGTTTCCCCCAAATCCAGGGTGTTTTTTCCTGCTTCTATCTCACACAGCTCTTCTTCTTCATCATCCTGAATTGTGAGTGGCAAATAACTCATATGTTCCTCAATATTTCTGGCATGTTGTAAACACAGAAAAAAAGGCTTACCTCCTGCACACGGGGGCTACTGAAGACTCTGGCAAATACACCACAACACTGTGGCAGTGACTCAGTCAGCGGGGGGCCACAATGAGTCAGCATTGGCTTTAGATATCTGTGACATTGTTAAAGGACTGTTCAAAACGTGTGTACGTGTCAGTGACTGTAAACAGGAGATAAGGTGAAATGGTCTGTTGTAGTCTAGCCTGTCCTCCAGCTCCACAGTCATAACAATAATAGCTAACAACACTAAAGCACATATCAGATTTATTTTTATTATAAATTATATATATATATATATATATATATATCATATATATATATATATTATATATATATATATATATATATTGAAAGAATGAGTAGGACAGTAACCAGATACGGTGTTTTACCTGTGCAGGATAAAAGGTCAGGGAATTTACATGTTACTGGTGTTGCACTCCAGTAAAGCGTTAACTGGTATGGTCGGTTTCCTATTTTAGCAGCTGATGCTCGAGGGAAAGCCCAACTCTTTGTTAGAAAGAAGTGGTTAAAGTGAATCACTGCAGTTTATCATAAACATAATCACTGAGCGTGTGACTGCAAATTGTTTTAGATCTAAGCCATCAGACTTCCAGTTGTTTATATATGAAGACAGAAATGAGAGATGCAAATCTAAAAGTGTAATAAATCATAGTCCCCTTGTGCTCAAAGCAATAAAAAAAAATTATGAAAGTGTATTATTTCCCTTATGAGGTCACTGTCAGCTTACTGGCATTCAGTGCAGTTGGCCTTCCGTTTTGAAGATGGCACACTGCAGAGAGCTGGGATATTAGTCATTCAAGCTTTAGGTACTTGAGCTATTTTTGTTCCAGATTCTTAAGCTGTTAGCATATTTAATATACATAGCTTTTGTCAGCTGAGTTGTTGTCTTAAGGAATAAAAGCTCCCATGCAACACAGAGAGATTTTCCAGGAGGGGATGTTGCATGAGAGCCAAAATCGAGATAAAAATAATTTGCTCAAGAAAAAAAAAAAGGAAAGGTAGCAAATGGGTCGTTATCTAGTTTCAGCAAACTGGGTCAGCCTTGCATTTGATTGAAACTAGAGGCAAGGTCACAAATGCCTTATAAATGTGATAAAGTGCAGATATGTGCATTTTGATTTTTGATCAGCGTTGAGAGGAGACGGTGGAAGCGAAGCGGTGCAGGTGGCAGGTGGTTACTAAACAATAACAGTGGCATATTTATAAGCTCTGGTCTGAAAAGTGGAGGTGAGTATGTTTGTGACATTTCGGAGCCCTCTGCTAGCATCTAATTTATAATCACCTTTCTGCAAGGGGTCATACTTTCCTCAATTTTTGCTTTGGAGGGGAAAAAAAACAACAAAAAAACGGACAAATTCCTATTTTACCAGTGCCATCAGTGTCAACCTTTGTACCTCACTGCCTTTTATGAGTAATGTGGGACTAATGTGGCACACAAGTGCACAGTCCTCTGGCATGCGAACAAAAGAACAAGGGTAAGTGGAAAATAATCTAATATGGAAATTGGTACCAGCTCTCGCCATTCGGCTTCTGTTGTTGAAAATGTGCAAGAGGTTGAAATTATAAGCACCATTCTGGCAGCTAACAGGATTTATTCATAAAATGTCTCAAATGAGAAACAAGGGGAAAAGGGGGGAGGGGTCTAAGGAGGGAGAAAAGGAGAGAATAATGTCTTCCTTGGGATGTGCCTGAGTGAGTTGTCTTCCTGTTGGCACTGCGTCCTCCTGTTCCATGCTGGCATGATACTCGACAGTGATGGTAATTATAACTGCTGGTTCTGCTTTCTGCTACACAATGGTGTCAGATTATATGTGTGTGCGTGTGTGTGTGTGTGTGTGTGTGTGTGTGTGTGAAAAGATGCTGAGTAGTTATGTGGGGGTAGAAGACCAACTGCTGCTTCAGCCACCATCACAGCAAGCACAAGTCCCACGCTGCACAACCCGCAGGTAACCTTTTACTGACCTTTCATGAGTTAGGGCAAGTATTAGAGGTATAATACATGTGATCAGCTACTAGAGTTCAGAAACTACAAAGCAGGTTAGTGTGGTTTGGTTAAATGCTTGCTGCTTTTCACGGGCTTCA